TAAGTTCTGCCACAGGCATGGAGAAGCTCTCTGTGTTATACAGCCCTTCTGTTTCTGTTATGTGGTTGAAATGTGATTTGTGTGGCTGCAGGTATTCCACTAAGTGCAGGCGTGTTGGATGCTGTTCTGTTGATACGAGATTACAGCTAACATGTTTGCATCAGTTCAGGTCCAGGTGCAGTGACGCATTTTTGGGCAGCATTTCAGAATGGTGTCGGGCATATCTTGGAGACTGACTTGCTAAAGATCCCCAGGATAAGAAGAGTTGAAGGCTTTTCTAGAGCACTACTTCAGATTTCTGTAGCTAGTACTGTAGGTTCCCCTGCCTTCTGTTGCTGCCCATCACCCCTTGAGCTCCAGAGTGGGTTAGAGCTTCCCAAACTGAATGAAAGGCAGATGTAGTTATTTAGTGGCATAGGGATGCTCATATGGCAAACCACAACACTTCTCCACTTTTCCAGAAAATCCTGGCTGCCATTGGTACAAAGTAGCAGCCTTTCAGACCTTCAGGTTCATGTTGGAAGAATTCAGCCTTTCCCTTTTAAGAGGATGTCTTGGGGAAAAGATTAAATAAGATTAAATTAACTCTGACCGTAGTTAGGAGTAGAATTGGGCCATGAAACAGGAATATTTTGCTTCTTTCCTTTCTTGTATTTTTTAAATGCTCCTCCCCATGGACAGAATCCTTGGTCTACTGTCAATCAGATTCTCATTTCAAGTAAAAAGAGACTAAGTGAGGAATATCTGTGTATTTTGAAATTTCTTCTCAGAAGGCAAGCGCTTCTGGCTTTTTAGGAAAGAGTTGTTCAGTGGCATCCTTTTGAATAAGTTTAGGATTGCAGTAGTTGCAGGCCAACTTTGTAATATTTTCTTCCATACGAAGCTAGTGCTGGTGATGGTCCCTGACTCTAAACCCCAGAATTGGCATAATATGGGCAGCTGTAGTGCAGGATCACCCAGGCTGTGCTAATGCCAACATAGAAGGCAGTGGGGTCCCCGGCTCATTCAATCCTTAGCAGTGTCATTTAGATTGCCAGCAGCAATAGTGGTGATTTTTCACGAATTTAGCTTTTTCTGATTGGAGCTTCAACCATGCTTGGGTCCCACCACCGGGTTTTAAAGCTAACACGAGTGTGTATCTAACTTATGCTTGTAATGTGTAATTGTAGCATCTTTTGACAATTTGAAGTACAAACAAACCAGCACTACCTCCCACATAACACATGCATGCACACACTCCTACTTAACAAAACCAAAGGATGTTCCTTGGTAAGGTGTTTTTTTTTTTTCAGCCACTGTGCATTAAACCAATCCACTTCTGCTTTAAAGGGATGTCTTTCCTGTCTCCTGTCAAAGAGTAGCATTCTTGTAAATTGCAACACGTCAACCCACAGTGACGGAGCACAAATTTGATAGTGCAAAATGCTGTGTTAGTATTGGACAGAGACTGGACTTGATGACCAGTGAGGCCCCTTACAGTCCTTCGTTCTTGCCTTTTAGGTCAAGAGGGATTTTGTCCAAACCTCCTTGTGCTGTTCTCCGGCTATGGGAGAGCTCTTTGAGCTTAGTACTGTGATCACCTATATTTGTAATTAGCCACATCTCTCTCTATCCCTGTCTATCTTCCCCTCCCCCTGGGAAGGACAGAAAGACATGTTCAACAAGTCTGTTGGCCAACAAGTGCAGCCTATTGTTAGTATCACCATGTCCTCCTCAGTAACATCAGGTTCAGAGGGCAAATCGCTCAAAGCAGCTGGGACATGACTGCTGGCTCGTAAGGAATGATGTAATTACATCCCCCTCCACAGTGAAGTGAATAGAGAGGCCTTCAGAGACACTTGCTGGGGGGGCTGCCTCAGGTTACTTCAGGTCAGGATACTGTCAAAATCCATCAAAGGAATTCCCAGTAGATTTGGCAGCCGACCTGCACAATGCAGGCATTATGCCACAAGCGGTGTAGTTGAGTTATAGGCATCTGGGCTTTGGAGGGATTCAGTAAGATGTTGCTCTCCCCCTCCTCCCTCTGCTGCATGAATTAAGGCTTTTTTGGATTACTGAGTTTAAAGAAATCCAAGTGGTTCAAGCTGGTTTCTTTTTGTTACTAGTTCAGATAGTTTTTGTTGCAAGAGGGGGGGACCCAGAGAGCCATAAAACTTGCTCAGCAAGGAAAGGGACACAACCGGAGGTGAAGGGAGAACGTTGTCCTACTGTGAACACAGGGGCCTTTTTCTATTAACTCTGCAGGTTTCTCCATAAAATGACTTATCCTGGAACTACATAGATATTTTACATTTTTGATGCAAGCAAACATGATGTCTGCATTTCAGGATTGGTTTAAGGTCTGTAAGGGCTTCTGAGTTTGGATGGGGAAGCATACAGTCACTCAGCAGCCTGCAGGCAATGTTAATTACTGAACCTCTGCAGTTCAGCACTAATTTAACATATGATCAAAAGTTTTATTCCCTTTACTAGCAATGCCCCTATTAAAAAAAAAAATTCCCAGGTGTTGACTCGTTTGCATTTTCATTCTCTGTGGGAATATATGGTCAGGTTTTCATTTGATTGACTGTTTGTCTTCTGCTTTTCATGGTTGGTCTGCAGCAATCTTTTTTTATCTCCCACCCACAGCTAGGTATATACATATAGGATGTTACCCTTGCACAATATACCTGGTGTACCTAATGCGATTGGCGAATGAGGGATAGGGACATTTGAGCGTGGTGCTCTGGATTTGCTTGGCATTGTCACTATGGGGTGATGTTAAGTAGTGCTGATTGCACTGTATCACAACCAAACTCGAGCAAGTCAGCCTGGAGCTGAAAGAGAATACTGAATACCAAACTTAGTTTATTGTTCAAAAAGGAGAAGTTAGGATGCTGTCCTTTAACATCCATGTTTCTGAGACCTTAATATTGAAGGGAATTGGATCCATACTTAAAATGAAAAAACAAGTGCCCTTTATTACTAATATTAGTCTATTAATATGGGAGAAATCTTTTAAGGTCTCATTTATTTTTTGTCCCTAATGCTGCTGTTTTTCTCACTCATTTGAGAACACAAGTGGTCTTTTTCCCCGCCGCCTTTATCCCCGCTGAAGATTTACTTCTTGCAGTTGGTTCTCACATCAGGTTGTAAGAGGATGTTTGGTTCTAAAACAACTTTTTTCACTGATCTTTAAGAAAATCTTGTAGGGTTTGCCTCCATCTCAAATGGTTCACTAGTGCAACACCTAACCATATGATTAACTTCAGCACTTGTTAGATCCCATTAAAACCCAGCTGAATTCAAGAACCAGTGTCAAGTTTGTTAGCTAATATTGTTCTCTTCCTTTCCTCAATCTCATCTGTATGAATTTGGCTTTTGAATCAATAAAATATTTCCACAGTAGGATGTCATGGAAATAATGTGTGTTAATTTCCATTATTGGGTGAACATTAGAAGCTTATTCTGGACAAATCACTTTGTTAGGAATCTCCTGTTCAGGCTTTCTTCTGTGACTTCAGTTATGATCTTGACTCTGGCTGATCAGATCCACTGATAGGCATTTCTCATGACATTTTTGTGTTTCCAGACCTAGCCCCAAAGCAAGAACATACAAAGAAGCATTAAAAAGCTGGGAAAGGGCAGAATGCTCAAAGATTTCTTTGAAATTTTTTGTTCATATATTTAGGTGACTGGTCAGATTGGCTGTTTTTTGTCAAAACTACTTTGCCCACCCCTAGTTTTTCTTTCTTTAGAATTTATCACCCTTTAAGAGTTATTCCCTTAATCTTCCCAGCCCAGAAATGTGCATTTTACATTCTGTTTAATCCTATTAAGCTGTGTATTACACTGTATTAATCATCTGACTGGAGAAATCTGGTTCATTTGGAGCTGTAATCCTCCTCTTTGAATCACTGTTTCTATGGGACCTTGGAAAACATAAAATAGATTTGCTGTGTCTTATGTTAAAGAATAGTTATACTGTTTAGAAGGAAGGCTAATTGTTAAGTATCTTAGGGGCCAGATAAGCATCATTTAGACTAGTTCGAATGTACTACTTAGTACAGTAAAATACTTGCCTGAGTAGGGGGCGATTGTAAGGATGACAACTTGTGAATTTTGTAAATAAGCATTTGAGATGCTGATTTGGGGTGACTTTAATTTGTCTTAATTGTGGATTATCAAAACAATTACACTTGGCCTTGGCCTTGTGTAAACTCAGTTTATCAGCAGCAATGGTTATAATAATCCAGGGTGAATTGTATGGCTGACTGATATCAAGTGCGCCCTTAAAGTGACATCAAGGAAAAAGTATGTATTCTGATCCTCAGGCTTCCAGTGGGTAGCCTTAATTAGCATCACCAGGTAGGGTAGACCCTAATAGTAAGCAGATTTCTCAACTCAATAGGTATTATAGAAACATCTGTACTGTAACTACAGTACCTGCTCTTCAGAAATAGCTGGCTGAGTACAAAGCAGAATCACATTCTTGCATTGATTAGATTACTGTAGATACCAAATGTTTCCTGCAGTACAGGAAATGGTCTTTGTACTGCTTGTTTTAACAGATATGGACTTGAGTTTCCACTGTCTTGATGTAGTCAGACACATGTTGTTGTTTTTTTGTTTTTTGTTTTTTTTACTGAATATCCTGGTGAAATAGCCCTACCATATTTCATACAAATAATTTTTTAAAAAGCTTTGCTGTAAGAGTTTAAATGCCACATGATCTTCAGATCTGTTACAAGGGCTTTGAATTCCATAGTGCATCACACTATAAATAGACCTATAAAATCATCTAAATCCAAACGTATAATGTGCTGCCACCCCCCACCTGTGTGTGGACGTACTTTAATCGGTGTATACATTGTTATACAGTGCATGATGTTGAGGAATTTGCAACCTCTTAGCTTATAAAGTACTGAGTATTTGAGGGTTATTTTCATGTAAACGACTTGTTCAATAACAAGAATGAACCTATAATTTGTCTCTTATTAACTCTGCCCCTTTCTCTCCAGCCCCCTGCCGACCCTGCAGTGACACAGAAGTCCTCTTGGCTGTCTGCACTAATGATTTTGGTGAGTATCTTCTTTCTCTTCTGTTTCTACTTCCACAGTCTGCCCTCTCCCTCCCTACTTTTAATCTGGCGCCTGCTGGATTTGACTACAGAAACCTCTGCAAACAGTGATAAATGTAGACACCAAATTGCAACAAACTGGAAACTTTCTCTGCTTGCAGTAAACAAACTGTGTCCAAGGCAGCACAAAGAGAACAGAGAAGGAGAACATTTTTATAGGAGGTGACATGAAGGGCCTCAATTAAAGCCATTGTATTTGGCTAGTCCTTTCTATAGAGAACAAAGAAGAACCAAGCAACAACAATAGAGGTAGAAGTTCAAAGGTTTCTTGGGGGCATGTAATGGGTATTTTTCCCTTGATGTTCCAAAATGGACTACTGACAAAAGACCAAAGGCTCAGATGGCTGTTTTTATGTCTGTTTTCTAAAGGGGGAAAGTTAATGTTCAGCTAGTATTTGTAATGGTAGCAACAAACAAATTATATTGAGAGGGAGAAATTGGGAATGTTCTAAATGTGCTTTTGACTTTGGTAGATCTCTTCTTTCTTGAGCTGATTGCATGATTTCTAACGTAACTTCCTCATGCATAAATTTACAGTAATGTAGGCAATTTGGCTTTTGGGTTTTAAAGATATGCTGTAAGGATTATGAATACAAACACTGTGCCCTTGAACTTACTGGGCCAAATTTCAAACGGATGTAATAAATGCATTTTCCCCATTAACCTCACTGAAGCTGCCTGCTTCAGAACTGAATTTGGGCCCAACTCTCCCAAAGCATTCACGTAACCCTCACTTCATTTCATTCTTCTGTCTCCAGTTGTCAGAGGTTCCATCCAAGATGTAACAAATGAGGTAGAACAGCAAGAGTCCGTAATAGATGTCAGTGTAAGCAGACTCTACAGGCAGAAGAGCAAAGTCTTCCAGCCCTCAGAGGAAAGCGGGAGCTGGCGAGGGCAAATAAAGACCCTGCTGGAATGTGGGGTGAAACCAGGAGATGGAGACTTCCTCTTCACGGGACGCATGCACTTTGGGGAAGCCCGGTTAGGCTGTGCCCCTCGTTTCAAAGACTTCCAAAGGATGTACAAAGAAGCAAAGGACAAAGGGCTAAACCCTTGTGAAATTGGCCCGGACTGAAATCCTCCATTTAGCTGAAGATTGCTCTTAGCACTCGGCTGGAACTGATTCCCGGCCACAGTGAGCGTTCTGAACAAAAAACTGATCTGAATGAGGAGATCTGGTGAGCAGAGTGGAAGATCCACATGGGATGTCCCTGTGGCCAAGGGAGGCTGTTACACTAATGGAAGCAACAGAGGTACGAGCTCAGAAGGCTGCCAAGCACCCAAGGCTGGAATTTTAACCGATCTTGTCCCTATGAATTAAATTATTATATTTTTTTAGCAAGTTTCTTAGGAAAACAAGCAAAGAAACCTACCATGTCTTAAACCCCTTCCAGTAAAAAACCAACTGCCTTTATATCTCTTTAATACTAATGTCTTAAGCTGATGTAGCATTTGGTATGGCATATTCTGTATAAATGGTAAAGAATGTGGTAGAACACGGTAAAACCATCTTAATGTTGATGCTTTGTAAAAAGCTTGGTGTACAATTCAAAGTTTTTTGTTATGACAGAAATTTATGGAGCCAAACTCTTGTGTTTTTTGGTTTTTGTTTTTTAATTTGAAAGAATGTACAAATCGCCACCTGCAGCTTTTTGTCCAGGCTGGTAAATTGTTTCCATTCCAGAGAAATAAAGGTCCCTGGATTTGATCTGCTTTGTTACGACTTATTTTCCTTCTCCATAATTTGCAAGCTCTGCTGCTCCTGATGTGCATCTGGATCAAGTGTCACTGGGCTAAAGATTACTCCTTGCTTATTGTGTGGCTGCTTTGAATAGAGATAATGAAGTCTGAGTGCCTATGATCGATTTGGCAACCACAGTATTTTTTCACATGGAAGTGGGATCTATTCTTTTTGAAGTCTTAAAGGCACCTTTCCTAGGCAAGATGCTTTCAATGTTGCACTCTGCCACTCAATAGGCTATTTTGGGAACCACTGCAAAACAAATATTTTCCCCAACCTCATCCTTCCCATTGGCTAAGTTTAAGATGTCACAGGGGCAGTTTTTTTTGCAAGTATCTAGTTGGTCTAATAAAAGATAGCATCTCTGCCTCGTTCTGATTCCTTTTGCCTCTACACCAACACGGCTACAACCTGGTTACCTGTCACAGGGCCAGGTTCATTTCCCCTCCTGTTCTATGTGGAAAATGATTTTTTTTTAAGAGGACTGATTTGTCTGTCAGTGTCTCAACATGAATACAATAGTTTTCCCTCAAGCAGTGATAACATTCTGTGTAACCTGTAGCCCAGTATGTGTTAACTCTTTCTTTGGACAGTTGTCATTTAGGTGATTATTTTTTTTCTACATTTGTCTGTGTTCCCTCCACAGGTACATTTCCCATTGCCCTCTTCTCTTCTCACACTCACTCCCCCTGAATAAATCTCTTATTATAAAGTAATCCCCCCCCATCTCTGACCTTATTTTGTAGATCTCTCTGTACTCAAGGAATGATTCATTAAGTTAAAACTATATTTTAGTTTTACCTTTGTCCCCCTAAATTAAGTTAGCTGCTCAGATGGTACAAAATTCACCTCCCTCCCCCACCCCTGCACATATTTAAAGTTCTAAAATGGGCCCCTGTACTTATAGAAATATCTTATAGGATTTAATAATGATGGAATAATTGGGGTTTTATTGAAATTATTGACCCGGGGCAGAAAAGATTCTGAGACAGGAAATCCCCATGTGGATCTTTTTGCAGAGATCCCAACATGGGATTTACCCCGCTCAACCTTTGGAGAAAACTGTGCAACCCTTCTCTCAACCCACGCTTGCAAGACCTGAGCATTCTTCTGTAGGTTGTATGTGTATGTGAATGCAAGATTGCTTAGGAGGAGAGCTTAAGTTGACTTCAAGCCTGCGTCTGTAATAAAAGCAACAGCAAGTGAAGTGTCTCTACTGAGGCAAAGGGAGCCTTTACTTTTGGGGGCCAGGAAGCATGGTTTTGTTTGCAGTTTAGTTGTGACCATTCAATTGTTTAGAGATATTTATGCTTGCATTTCCAATACCAGTGTCTGGATTTAAAGATAATCCTTTTTGTTTTTTCTCTCACCTTGCACTACATTCCGCAGATTCAGTGTGTGGGGAGGTAGGGTGCCTTGGCTACCAGTGTTACCAACTCTGCTAGCTGCTGAGTTAAAAGTCCTTGGCGCATCATTCTCCAAGAAGGTCCTTGTACATCCTGCCAGTGAAAAGGGGTCAGGAGCTCACAAATGTCCTCTCTACTTGCCCCTTCCCTCTTAGTTACACTTCAGCTGTTTTGCAAATTGCTGACATGCTTTGTTTGTCCTTTAGGCTGCCACATGCTCATCATCACACCAATGGCAATTGCATAAATAAAATTGTAGGTGACTTGAAGGGAGTGGTTGAATGAGTAATAATTGCCTACAAAGCTCAGCTCTTTTCTTGGAAAGGGAGTAACACCTTTAAGGACATTTTTTTTGTTGACTGCACATTGACTGAACTGTAGTGCTACACCCTTTCCAGCATACCATGTCTTTTGCATTTTCCATCTGCTGCTTGGCCTAGTGTCATCATTGATATAGATATCTGGGCATGTGTAATGTACAGACTGCTTTAGTAAAGACTAAGGTATGATTTTTCATCGGAGGCTTTCACCCACAATCTGAAAAAGTAGTTCCTTGTTCTAGCCATTTAGGTTCTGAACTGAGCTAACAACTTGACATATTTGAGAGCAGAAAGACATATTTGTTGTCATCTAATGGGAATCATTTGGATGAGAAGATAATCAATAAACAATAACATAGGCACCAGCTTTGGTTCTTGCTGGTGGATGCTTTTTTTTTTTTCCTTTTGTGTTCCTGCGCTGAGCCCCATGTGTGCCCAGAAGTGGCAGCACATTATTGCCTGACACGGCTCGTGGATGCTGAGCACCCACTAACTTTTTTTTGTGGGTGCTTGAGCCCCAGAACACCCATGAAGTTGGTGCCTATGAGCAAAAATAAATGAAGAGTGAACATGAATTACTTTGGCTTAGGACTCCCCTAGTTTGATGGCACCCAAATAAATAATGATTCCTGTTTCAGGGCCTAGCTGGGTTTCTTTTGCATTTGCCTCTTAACTTGAGGAGATAAATTGAAATCATGGTTTAGATTGCAAGTGAAAATTAGTTCAGTGTTTTCCTTGCAATCTCTCTCTCTTTCTGATCCTCTGCATGGTGTGGTGAGGAGTCCATCAACAAATGCATTACATGAATAGAAGGTTATTAAAAGCTTGTTGCGAGTAAGGAGGAGTTGGGTTGGCAGACTGATGTGGGTGCCGTAACCGGAATATTAAAGGCGTAACAGATCATATGTGCCCAAGGGAAAATTTGCCTGTTCCAGCCTGATTGGGGATGAGAGATTTGTTCTCTGAGTAGCACAACCATAAACGCTTTGGAGAATAAGGGAGGATTATTGTGACTGATTTGTCTACAAGTAGCTTGAAAGATCTTGACTAAGACACCTGTCAGCATAGCTGGCTACCAAAAGGGAGAGAGAGCTTTTATCTAAGTATAGTTCACATTTTGCTCAGTAGATGAAGGCCTTGTCCATGCTAGAAAGGTGTCCCAGTGTGTCTAACTCGCATATTATCGCTGCTTGCAATGCAGCTCCATCTGTTTGAGCATTTTGACAGGTGGCTGGTGTTTTAGGCAGCAACCTTAAATTCTCCCTTTGGAAGAATAAACTTGCTCAGAAGACTGACTGAGAATAGGTCTCATGATTAGAGCCCATATAAGACTTCTGTTGTTTCATGGATCTCCTGTTACTGCTTATGAGCATTACCTTTGCAAAGCAAGACAGGTCTGTTCCTCTGGAAATTGTAATAATCCAGTGGGTAGCATTGTTGTGCACATCTAGTCTTTCAAGTTTACCTCCCAGTTGCTGATAATTGTTATGTCAAAACTCCAACTGTTTGGCCTTGAGCCTCCATATTTAGTATAGGAACTCCCCCTCTGCCTAGGCTGTACTTAATTAGGACATACTTATTTCTGGGGCTGAGAGCATTCCTTGGTGACTTTTTGCAATGATGCTAGCTGAATTAAATAGTAAAGGCATGGCAGCCAGGTTGGCTCCTGCTGTTCTGCTTGAAATCAGCCTAAAGAAGCAATGTTTGTCAAGTAGAACAAAATCACCAGGAAAGACATTTTCAGGTTTCTCCAAGCCAAAATAAATACACAAATACTGACAGCAGTGACTAGCAGATCAGAGGATGATAGGCGACAAAGCCTTTCATTTCTAGCTCACTGGTCATAACCCTGCCTATATTGGTAACAACTGAAACTTGGCTCCTTTGCCAGCTCAAGGTCTGGCCTACTTTCCGTCCACTCCCCCACAGCTAATTTACAGACTTCAGTAACTCCTTATCTTACTAGCTATGGGCTGAGAAGCAGCTGATAACTGTAGTATGATACTCTGGATGCTGCAGCAAAAGCAGCTCTTTCTCTAGGCAGCCCTATAAATCTCGCTCTTGCCCTCCCTGCAAGGAGAAAGCCGCCTTTATCTCAGAGCTTGATTGTGAACCCCGTTCAAGTGTGGGCTGGATACTGAATTTAGATGAAAACAAAACAGCTTTACAAAAAGCATTTTCCTGTCATATCCACCCATTTTACTGGGGCCCAAGTACTTTGAGCAAATTGTATTTAGGCTCCTTTGTAAAAGGCTGTGCAGCATGGCAGAAAAATGAAAAGTCTGCTCATAAACATTGCCTTGTGCTCATACGTATGTATTTTCTGGTTTATAGGTCAACATGGCTTATAGTAGTTCTGTGCAAAGCAGCTACTATTTGCTTTGGATTTGGGGGCCAATGATTCGATTTGGTGATTTGAATCACTGTCCCGAATTGATTCTGCCGAATCCCTGAATCGCCCAGGCCAGGCCCATCCCCTGCCCGCTCTCCTAGCCGGGCAATGGCTGCCCGCCCGCCCCAACTCCCGGCACTTGTGGGGGAAAAAAAGCCCTGACTCACTGGGTGCAGCAAGGTGGGGGGCTATCCCCACTGGCCCTCACTGGCCCACACTGTATGGGGGCCCTGCATGAGCCCCCCGTCCCCCCCCATGGCTGCCCCGCCCACCCCAGCCTTGGCCCTTTAAGAATGCAGAGCCCCCCATGCAGTGGGGGGCAGCAGGGATTGCTCCTGTGCCAGGCAGCACCCAGTGAGTGGGGGCTTTTTGGTTAAAACCCTGGGAGCTGGGGTGGGTGGGGGAGCAGGGAGGGGATGCGGCCTGGCAGGGGGCCCCCCATGGTCCCCTGCTCCAGCCCCCCCTTCCCCGCCCCCAGTACTTACCAGCACAGAGTCTGGCTCCAGCTCCTTGCTGCAGCCACTGGGGACTGCCCGAATCATCAAAGCTCTCCAAATATTTTCTGAACATTCGGAGGGCTTCAAATTGATTCAGACCTTTTTATTAGTTCCCTGATTCGATTCGGATTTGGAGATTCAGCCACCGAATCAGGCCGAATCTCCTCTGAATCAAATTGCTACCCGAAGCTTTGCACATCCCGAGAGTATAGGTCAATCCCTGGCTTTCTGATTTGAAAGGTAAGGATTTTCATAGGCATGGTGTATAAGTTGGAGCCACGCTTAGCTGGCATGGCCTTATCTCCTGCAGTCGGCGCTGCAGGGGATGGGGCTGTGCCAGCTGAGCACTGAG